ATCATGACGGAAGACGGCATCAAGGAAGTGCACCGCGGTATCTGCCGCGGTGATCGCATCCGACACCGGAATCAGGTGGACCATCTTGCTGAAGCGGTCTACGAACACCAAGACACCTGAGCGTCCTTTAGCATCGGGTTGGAGCCCGAAGATGAAGTCCATCGACACCGAGCGCCAGGCCTCAATGGCCACTGGTAGAGGACGCAAGGGAGCCTGCGAAGACTAGGCAGGTTTCACCGCGCTGGCAGGTCTCGCAGGTGCGCACCCACTTACGTACCCATTTGTACAGGTGTGGCCAATAAAAGTCGCGTGACACAAGGGGCGGAAAGAAATGTCTCCTCCCCCAACGCAAAAGAAACGCCCCAGCGGGGCCATCCATGTAAATTCATGGAATATATCTCTGGAGCGCCAAAATCGGGGTTGTTTAGGGAAAACGACACGTGGGGCATCGACGTTGTCAATGCTGTACGTCAGCAGCTCGTCCTCGAGACGATATCGGTGGATTTTGTTTTGTACAGAGCGGGAAAGGGCTCCCAGTGTGTCGGTTCTGGGAGAGCGGAGATGCTTCAGGATACTGGAGCACGTCGAGTCATGTTCGTAAGCAGCTCGGATCTCGTCGCGAAGTAGCATTACCGGGGAGACGCTCGTCAGGTTGACCCCTGTCGCCTCGCACATGGCACACTCGTCTACATCGTCTTCATCCAGCGAAGCTTGTCGACCCAATGCACCGCGTGGGTCGTAGTCGGGACGCCGAGACAAAGCGTCGGCGAGAATGTTGTTCTTGCCGGGTTTGTAGTGGACAACGAAGTTGTACTCAGAGAAGAACGAAAGCCAGCGGGCCATCCGCTGGGAGAGATGAGAACGCTTCATCGCTGTCCTCAGCGATGCATGGTCGGTATACACCGCGAAGGTATCCTCACCCAACAGGTTGGAGAATAGTTCTTGTTCGACGTTCTCGCTGGTCTCGCTCGCGTTCTCCTCTCACCAACGCCAGCGTCTCGTCAAGAGTGAGATTTCGCTGAGTTGGCTGAGACAATGGTTCGCGAGGCACGACTGGAGGTGGTACGTACACAGGCGGTGTTACCGTGCGAACGGTTGTGTAGGTTGGTTCAGGTGCTGGAGTAGACGGAGGAGAAGGAGGTGGTGACTCAAAGGTAGGAGAAGGAGGTGGTGTAGGAACTATATCATCGTCTCCAGCAGAAAAGGTCTGCGTTTGCAATGGCTCGTCTGTCACTGTTTCACCTGAGAACCGACGTTCACGCGATGTCTCGATGGGAGGCCGCACGGTGCTCCCACCCCTGGATCTCCATAGCCTGGTCATGGACTTGGGCCCGCAAGGTCTGAAGTTGGGTAGTGTGCAGAGACGCAGCTTGGTCTTGGGCATCTTGAGCCGTCTGGAGCTCCGCCGTCAGGGTTTGCACCTGATCGGAAAGAGCCTGGGCTAAAACCCGCAGATCGGTGGGCGACATGGAAGACGGACTGACCGGAGGGGTGGTGGATGGGGCCGTGCCCGGCGATTTGCCGGTACGCTTGGCGGGAGACATGTGCCACGAAGAATTCGGTTAACCTGTTGGATCTGCACGTGTATAGGAAAAGCTCACTAGGCTGTAGGATCTGGCCAATGTATTATCCAACCATTATTAACTTTATGGTCGTGGCTCCGGGAATGCCGTCCATGTTTTGGTCTTCATTAGCACTTGGCACGGATTCAGAAACGGGCGAGTATTTGGCAGAACATCTAGGTAGAGTTATTGATGAAGTCGAACGGGAAACAGGGGCCGTAATTGCTGGAATACTGACAGACAACGCTAGTAATATGGAGGCTGCAAGAGGAATATTGGAGAGATCTCGATCAATCTTTACAGGGAGGGTTGATCTGCTCACGTGTTGAATTTATTGGTTGAGGACTTGTTCAAGCTGGACTTCTTCAAAGCTGCTCAAACCAAAGCACTTGCTATTACCACGTATGTCCGAGACCATCACGCCGTGCTTAGCCAGTTTCAAACAACACTGAGCGAGACGCTAAACGGACATCACAGAGCGTTGGTTGTACCCGTCAGCACGCGTTGGTATTCTCTCCACGTATGTCTATCCCGGGTGCTCGAGAATAAGAACGTGCTAAAAAACTGTATTTGGAGCCGCAATTTTCAGATTTAATCCGGAATTCTGCCTCAAGCGCAACAGCTAAAGAAAAATGCCGTCAAGTGAGAAGAAATATCAAAGATCGGGGATTTTGGAATAAGCTTGAACAAGTTGTGGGATTTCTTGACCCCGTGATTCAAACCCTTCGTGAGCTCGAGTCAGACAACTGTCCAATCTCACGCGTTTATTCTCAGTTTTAGGAGCTGCTAAACCACCCTGCTTACGGCACTGAGACTGAACAGTCGGATCTACAAGCGTCAATCAAGGCGTGTGTTGAATATCGCTGGGATTTTGTGCACACTGACGCTGCAGGGTTAGCATTTCTCCTAGACCCCCACACTGACCTGAATCGCTTTGTCGGCTCCGACGAAGGTGATACTATCGAGCAAGGATGTGCGTTTGCAACAAGGACTGGTATACTTACGCGCTTACGAGTGACTAGAAATCAGTTCAATCAAGCTTTGTATCGCTTTGCTGGTAAGAAGCGGCGGCGGCCAGCTGCAAAGAGAGCGATATATGCGGGAGCGGATCCTCAGGACTGGTGGTCTTCTAACCGAAATGAGTATCCGTTGCTGTGGGAGATCGCCAAGCTCGTATTTGCAATACCGACGTCCTCGGCGGCAAGCGAGCGAGCATGGAGCATCATGGATTTCATCCATTCCAAGAAGCGCAACAAGCTGACGACAGAGAAGGTCGATATGCTAGCGTACATCTACGTTAATCATCACGCCGCTCAGAAGGAGGCTGCAGACTGGGCACGGGTGCACTCTTATCCAGAAAGCCATGAAGCCCTCGAGAGAGAGATGCCAGAACAGAATGCAGCGTGATCAACATTCTGATAAGCGGTCGACCTAGGGTTGTTTTGATCTATTTTGAGCAATTTCGCAATTAATACTGCACAAGCAAATCGTTTTAAATATTTTCGAAATTACTCGAAACCATCACTATCAGCAGGATCACGACACGGAACCAGTGTCTCCCTACAGCCAGCGGATGACCTCGCCCCAGCCACGTCGATCTCCTAGACTTGTTTCTCGGCGAGTTACAGCTTCACCATTTGTTCAAGTACGAACACCGCGTGTTGGAGCTGCCCGGCGGCCCGGACGCCCAAAGCACTTGCTTTGGAGCTACTTCGAAAAGGTGACGGATGGGTCGTCGAAGCCGCATGCTGAGTGTAACTATTGCAGAGCGATTGTCCGCAGTGCCCAACCGGGGACGAACATGCAACGTCACCTTAAGAGCTGCCCAGATGCTCCTGCCGCTGTTAAACAACGCGTTATTGACTACTTCCCAAGCGTCCAACATTATCCAGTATTTTCAGCAACTGATGGGCCTCTTCTTGCTTCTGGTGATAATGCACACTCGACCTTGGGTGTCAACACTGCACAGTCAGTACCAGTGTCAACACCCGCCCAGCTGCAACTTCAGTTTGAAGTTGCGTTGGCCGCCATGTTCTAACTG